AGAACCTCCACTGTTTTCCAGAGTGCCTGCACCAGCTTGCATTCCCACTGACAGCGTAGGAGGGTTCCCCTTTCTCTAGATCCTTGCCAACATCTGTCGTTTCCTGGGTGGTTAATTTTAGCCTTTCTGACCAGTGTGAGATGGTATCTCTTTGTGGTTTTGCTTTTTATTTCCCTGATGCCGAGTGATATGGAGCATTTTTTCATGTGTCTGTTGGCCATTTGAATGTCTTCTTTGCAGAAACGTCTGTTCATGTCTTCTGCCTATTTCTTGATCGGATTATTCTTTGGGTGTTGAGTTTGGTAAGTTCTCTATAGATTTTGGATACTATCCCTTTATCTGACACGTCTTTTGCAAATATCTTCTCCCATTCTGCCAGTTGTCTTTTGGTTTTGTCGACTATTCCCTTTGCTGTGCAAAATCTTTATCTTGATGAAGTCCCAATAGTTCATTTTTGCCTTTAGTTCCCTTGGCTTTGGAGACGTGTCTAACAAGAAGTTGCTGCAGCTGAGGTCACAGAACTTGCTGCCTGTGTTCTCTGCAATTTTGATGGATTCCTGTCTCGTGGAGGTCTTTCATCCGTTTTGAGTCTATTTTTGTGTATGGTGTAAGGAAATAGTATAGTTTCATTCTTCTGCATGTAGCTGTCCAATATTCCCAATACCATTTGTTGAAGAGACTGTCTTTTTTCCATTGGATATTCTTTCCTGCTTGGTCAAAGGTTAGTTGACCATAGAGTTGAGGGTCTATTTCCAGATTCTATATTCTGTTTCATTGATCCATTTGTCTGTTTTTGTGCCAGTACTCTCTTAATGATTACAGCTTTGTGATAGAGCTTAAGTTTGGGATTGTGATGCCACCAGCTTTGGTGTTCTTTTTCAACACTCCTTTGGCTGTTTGGGGTCTTTTCTGGTTCCATACAAGTTTTGGGATTATTTGTTCTATCTCTGTGAAAAAAAATTGATTGTATTTTGATAGGGATTGCATTGACTGTGTAGATTGCTCTAGGTAGCATAAACATTTTAACAATATTTGTTCTTCCAATCCATGAGCATGGAACATTTTTCCATTTCTTCGTGTCTTCCTCAGTTTCTTTCATAAGTGTTCTGTAGTTTTTGGAGTACAGATTCTTTACCTCTTTGGTTAGGTTTATTCCTAGGTATCTTACGGTTTGGGGTGCAATTGCAAATGGGATCAACTCCTTAATTTCTCTTTTTTCTGTCTCCTTGTTAGTGTATAGAAATGCAGCTGATTTCTGTGCATTGATTTTATATCCTGCTACTTTGCTGAATTCCTATATGAGTTCTAGCAATTCTGGGGTGGAGTCTTTTGGGTTTTCCACATAGAGTATCATGTCCTCTCCAAAGAGTGAGAGTTTGACTTCTTCTTTGCTGATTTGGATGCCTTTTATTTCTTTCTTACTTACTTTTTTAAAGATTTTATTTGTTTATTTGATAGAGAAATCACAAGTAGGCAGAGCATCAGACAGAGGGAGAAGGAGAAGCAGGTTCCCTGCTGAGCAAAGAGCATCATCAGGACTCGATCCCAGGACCCTGAGTTGAAGGCAGACACTTAACCAACTGAGCCATGCAGGCACCCCTGCCTTTTATTTCTTTGTGTTGTCTGATTGCTGAGGCTAGGGCTTCTAGTACTATGTTGAATAGCAGTGGTGATAGTGGACATCCCTGTTGTGTTCCTGACCTTGGGGAAAAGCGAAAGGCTCTCTTTTTCCCCTTTGAGAATGATATTCGCTGTGGGCTTTTCATATATGGCTTTTATGATATTGAGGTACATTCCCTCTCTCCCTACACTGTGAAATTTTGATCAAGAAAGGATGCTATAGTTTGTCATATGCTTTTTCTGCCTCTGTTGAGAGGATCATATGGTTCTTGTCCTTTCCTTCATCTATGTCATCTATCATTATTGATTGATTTGTGGATATTGAACCACCCTTGCATCCCAGGAATTAAATTCCACTGGTTGTGGTGAATAATCGTTTTCATGTACTGTTGGATCCTATTAGCTAGTATTTTGGTGAGAATTTTTGCATCCATGTTCATCAGGGATATTGGTCTGTAATTCTCCTTTTTGGTGAGGTCTTTGTCTGGTTTGGGGAATCAAGGTAATGCTGGCCTCATAGAAAGAGTTTGGAAGTTTTCCTTCCATTTCTGGTTTTTTAAACAGCTTCAGAAGATTAGGTATTAATTCTTCTTGAGGTGTTTGGTAGAATTCCCCTGGGAAGACATCTGGCCCTGGACTTTTGTTTGTTGGGAGATTTTTGATTACTGCTTCAATTTCTTTGCTGGTTATGGGTCTGTTTAGGTTTTCTATTTCTTCCTGTTTCAGTTTTGGTAGTGTATATATCTCAGGAATGTATCTGTTTCTTCTGGATTGCCTAATTTGTTGGCATATAGTTGCTCATAATATGTCATTACAGTTGTTTGTATTTCTTTGGTGTGGTTGTGATGTCTCCTCTTTCATTCATGATTTTATTTATTTGGGTCCTTTCTCTTTTCTTTTTGATAAATCTGGCCAGGGGATTATCGATCTTATTAATTTTTTCAAGGAACGAGCTCCTAGTTTCATTGATCTGTTCTACTGTCCTTTTGGTTTTATTTTATTGATTTCTGCTCTCATCTTTAGTATAGGCTTTATTTGCTGTTCTTTCTCCAGTTTCTTTAGGGGTAAGGTTTGGTTGTGTATTTGAGATCTATCTTGTTTCTTGAGAAAGGCTTGTATTACTATATACTTCCCTCTCTTTGTTGCATCCCCCAAATTTTGAACAGTTATGCTTTCATTTTCATTGGTTCCCTGAATTTTAAAATTGTTCTTTAGCCTCCATGTATTTGAGTTCTTTCCAACTTTCCTCTTGTGATTGAGTTCCAGTTTCCAATCACTGTGGTCTGAAAATATGCAGGGAATGATCCCAATCTTTTGGTACCAGTTGGGACCTGATTTGTGTCCCAGTAGGTGTTCTGTTCTGGAGAATGTTCCATATGCACTCAAGAAGAATGTGTATTCTATTGCTTTAGGGTGGAATGCTCTGACTATATCTGTGAAGTTCATCTGGTCCAGTGTGTCATCCAGAGCCCTTGTTTCCTTGTTGATCTTCTGCTTAGATGATCTGTCCTTTGCAGTGAGGGGGTGTTAAAGTCCCTGACGATTATTGTATTATCACCAATGTGTTTCTTTAATTTTGTTATTAACTGGTTTTTATAATTGGCTGATCCCATGTGAGGGGCATAAATATTTACGATCGTTAGATCTTCTTGTTGGATAGACCCTTTATGATATAGTGTCCTTCATCATCTATTATTAGTGTTTGGTTTCAAATCTATTGGTCTGATATAGGGATTGCTATCCTAGCTTTCTTTTGATGTCCGTTAGCATGGTAAATGGTTTTCCACCCCCTCACTTTGAATCTGGAGGTGTCTTTGAGTCTAAGATGAGTCTCTTGCAGACAGCATATCAGTGGTCTTGCTTTTTCTTTTTTTTTTAAAGATTTTATTTATTTATTTGACAGACAGAGATCACAGGCAGAGAGGCAGGCAGAGAGAGAGGAGGAAGCAGGCTCCCCGCTGAGCAGAGAGCCCGATGCGGGGCTCGATCCCAGGACCCTGGGATCATGACCTGAGCCGAAGACAGAGGCTTTAACCCACTGAGCCACCCAGGCGCCCCTCAATGGTCTTGCTTTTTTATCCAATCTAATATCAGTGAGCCCTCAGAGGAAAGCAGTCAATCACTCCTGTCTCCCCAGTCTCCAGCCACACTCCATCCTCATCCAGCCTGTGACCGAGCATTTCTGTCTCAGGCACGTGATCCCTTTCAAGTCTGCATATGGTGCCGAATCCTGCAGTGTGCACCTGTGCCGCGCCTCCCAGGGGAGGAAGGGGATTCTTGTGGTGGTTCTGCTGCTTACTGGGCCCCTAGTCCAGGAGCAGTCACCTGGCCATGCCTTGGTTCACAGTTTATAGCAACCCCAAGCCGAGAACCCCCCTCCTGGTCTCTCTGATTGCAGCCGGCTTCCCTGCTCCAATGCCCAGGAGCTCTGCCACACTCAGGCACCCCCGGTCTTTCTGGGACCCTGGGATCCTGAGACCTACACTCTCCCACCCAGGATTCTGCCCTGCTTCACCACCTGAGCACCTTTCAGGCAGGGAATTCCTGGTGGGCCAGGACAGACGTCTGAAAGTTCCGATTTTGTGCTCTGCTGCTCTATCACTTTCTGGTGCCAGTTTACGGAGGCTCCCCCAACCCCCGTGGTTTATCTTCCGGTATATTGCCTCAGATTCACTTCTCTGCACCTCCTACCTTGCAGAAAGTGGTCCCTTTTCTATTTGTAGAGTAGCAGCTGTTCTTCAATCTCCGGTTGAGTTTGTGGGTGTTCAGAATGACCTGATAGCTGTCCAGCTGAATTCCTGGGACCAGACAAAACCAAGGTCTCCTACTCCTCCACCATTTTGGGCTATCTGGGGTAGGGGAAGGGGAGAATTTGTAGCTATGTCTACACAGCACCACGTGCCTTTAACACTGTTTCACAAGCGAGACAAATCCTTGCTCATTGCTCACCTTTTTTTAATCTGAAACTTTGGGTCACGATGGTGTTGTACATCTGTTACTACATTGGTTGTTGATGTGCTTGTTCAGTGCGTCTTGTTTTCCTGGGGTGTGAAAAACAGGGTTTTACTGCCCCACCAGTACTGCCACATGTGTGCCATTAGAGAGTCCCACTTTTTTTAATGTATACTTGACAACTTTATTTATTTATTTGAGAGGGGGGAGAGAGAGAGAGAGCATGTGTGCAGGGGGAGGAGTATAGGGAGTGAGAGGGGGAGAATTTCCAGCAGACTCCCCACTGAGTGGGGAGCCTGATGTGGGCTTGATCTCACTACCCCGAGATCATGACCTGAGCCGGGTGCTTACCCAACTGAGCCACCCAGTCATCCCTAGAGAGTCCGTTTGATGAATACATGTGGATGTGCCTTTTTTCTTCTCTTAAGATTGCCAACACTCCTGATCACCGAATGTGTGCTGGTTTATATGACTCCGGAGCAGTCGGCCAACCTTCTCAAGTGGGCAGCCAGCAGTTTTGACACCGCCATGTTCATAAACTACGAACAGGTAAATGGGAGCATGAGACATTTGCTTTCTGCCTCTATTTCCGTGGTGGCTCAACACTCTCTGAGCAACCTCAGTATGTTTTCCCACTTACTCTTTTCCTTCTGCCTCTGGCCACTCACATACCTCCTTTTTCATTGATTCTGGCAATCCCCAGCATCCCTGATTTCTTGATTTCCAGCTAACTTATGGCCAGAGACTTTGAAACTTCTATCTTGGCCTTAATCGAAGTTTTTTGAGTTCTTCTTTTATCATTGTATTTACTGTAGAGTCAGACCTTGGTGAAGGGAATTTTGGCTGTCCTATGGGTGGAGGGGTAGCCAACTCCGATTCCTTCAGAGGCAGGAGTGATGCAAATGGATCAAGTTGGCCAGTGTAAGGCAGGCAGGAGTGGTGAGGACTATGGTGAACCCGAGTGTCCACGTCCCATCTGATGGGATGGTCCCCCACTCTGTGCCAGTTGCTTGTTACTGTGTGGGTGTGTGAGTTAGAGTTGAGAACTCCCAATTTTTCAGGACCTTGGTCCGAGACCAGTTTTGGTTTTATTTGAAAATAAAATTTCCTGATTTCTGAGATCGCTGAGTTTGGACCACTGGCTGCCTGTTTTTCTCTTCTGACCTAGTGGAAAGGGTTATGCTTTCGAGGTTTAAAATTACTCAGCTTGGGTCTGAATCCTGGCTCTCGCTCTTATGCCTGGCTCCGTGACCTTCAGCAGAATTGCATGGTGGTTGGGAGTCCATGCTCTGGAGGTGGACTGCTTAGCTGTGTGACCTGGACAAGTTTAATAATCTCTCTGTGCCTGTCTCCTAATCTGAAAAATGGGAATAATAACAGTCCTGACTTCATAGGATTGTAGTGAAGAGTAAGTGAGTTAATTTGAACAGGGGCATTTATGGCACTGTCGGGCTGTCAGGCAGGCCTGAGCTGTTCTTTGGATCTCTTGGAGCCTCAGGTCCTTGTTGTTGTTGTTTTAAAGATTTTATTTATTTATTTATTTGTCAGAGAGAGAGAGAGAGAGAGAGAGAGAGATCGAGAGCACAAGCAGGCATTGTGGTAGGCGGAGGCAGAGAGAGAAGCAGGCTCCCTGCTGAGCAAGGTGCCCAATGTGGGACTCAATCCCAGGACCCTGGGATCATGACCTGAGCTGAAGGCAGCAGCTTAACCAACTTGGCCACTCGGGCATCCCCCAGGGCCTTGTTTTTAAAGGGAAAACTCTGGATTATTAAGGGAACTCATGAGATGATGTGTAGCAGTGGGCATATGACAAGCACTGAATACACGGTAGCTATTTTTTTTTTTTAAGATTTTATTTATTTATTTGACAGACAGATCACAAGTAGGCAGAGAGGCAGGCAGAGAGGGAGGAGGAAGCAGGCTCCCCGCTCAGCAGAGAGCCTGATGCGGGGCTCGATCCCAGGATCCTGGGATCATGACCTGAGGCGAAGGCAGAGGCTTTAACCCATTGAGCCACCCAGGCGCCCCCACGCACAGTAGCTATTTTTATTGCTTCTTTTATTTTGCTTTTACTGATTTTACTTTTTTTTTTTTTTTTTAGTCTCATTTTATTTTTAAATTTTATTACAGACAAGAGCAGTAAAGGCCTTGCCCACTACAACATACCTACGGACAGATCTAAGGCTAGACCCGGTTGACTTTTTTGCCATCCTGTGCCAGGTTCTTATATAGGCCGGGTTCTTATATAGGTATTTCTTCGTTGAGTTTTCTTCCTTCCCTCTTTTTAATTGGGGGCACTCCTCAGACTCAGTCTGCAGTCCTGGTGAATGGGTATAATGGTAGCCAGCCTCATTTGTCTTTTCTGTAGATTCTGGGAATCTGTCTTTGCTTACAGGATACTATGCCTGGGGAAAATGAATTCTGCTTTCTGTTGACACACATTGTGAGTGTTCACCTGGGTTTGTCCACCTTGTTTCATTCATGTTTTCTCTCTCTCTTTTTTTAAAAGATTTTATTTATTTATTTGACAGAGATCACAAGTAGGCAGAGAGGCAGGCAGGGAAGAGGAGGAAGCAGGCTCTCTGCTCAGCAGAGAGCCCTATGTGGGGCTCGAACCCAAGACCCTGGGATCATGACCTGAGCCGAAGGCAGAGGCTTTAACCCACTGAGCAACCCAGGTGCCTCTCACTCGTGTTTTCTTTTATTCAACAGGGTATGAATGTGAAATTTGACCACAGACCCTGTCACTTTGGGCAGGCCTGGGGAGGTGCCAGGTTTCACTCCATTGTCCAAGCCATCCCTAAACTGACGCGGTTCCCACCTCCCATCCTCATTTTGTGAATAATAAACATTTAACTTAATTTTCTAACAAATAAGAAATCATCGGCATACTCATGTGTATTAAATATTCCCATGCCTTCTATGGTTTTCTGATCAGTAGTTTAAAATGACAAAAACCGCATAAATGATGAGCCTGTCAATACTGATACAAGAAGATAGCAACTTTGTAGAATTTGCTGACTAGATAGCAGGCACATCCCACAAGTTTTGCATGTGTTAACTTACTTGATTATCACAATAGCCCCCCAGGTTTTGTGGGTAAGGGGGCCGAAGCACAGAGAATTAGACAGCTTGCCACAGCCATCCAGCCTCACAGCTAGAAAGTTCAGGCCAGGATTCCAACCCAGGGAGTGAAAGGATGAAGCGTGTGCTCACAGATACCCTTCGATCCTGAAAAAATAGTGGGCAGTGTGACCATTAGTGCCCCATAACCCTTACACATTCACCAAAAGAGAGTAATACTGGTTCTTGTCTGGCAACATTGTCACAGAACTCTGGGAATCATTCTATATATTAAAGCAATGAAGTTTAGATGCTTTATTTGTGACAGGGTAATAGCATATACCTTATGATAATGTACACTGTATTCTGTTTTGTAGCATTTGTGTGTATATACACTTTAATAGTCTTTTAAACTGGTTTAAAATGGTTCTGAAGAAGTAACACTACGTGCAAAATTTTTTAAAAAATCAAATAGTACGAAAGGATGGACAGGGAAGGGCAGGCCTCTCTCCTACTCTGGACTTTTGCCCTCTAACGTGGGAAGCGACATGGCCAGATTCCAGAATTATTTTGTGCATATATAAATGTAGACAAAGGTTGTCTTTTTTTTTCTTAAAGGTGGATAGGAGCATATTCTACACATTCCTCTTTCAAGAGTTTGTTACCTAAGAAATCATTCCATGTCTCTGTCTGTGTCTATATCTACACGTACCTCCTCTTTTTTTTCTGTTTTCATGGCAATGCAATATTCCATTAAATGACCATGCTAGAATTTCTTTGACCCCAGGTGAGGGGCATTTAAATCCTTCCCAGGTCCTTCCTGTTGCACGTAATGCTGCCGTAAACATTCTCACACCCTTGTGAGCACACATGAGTAAACCCACAGAACAGCGTGCTGGCAGTGGCGTGGCCGCCTCCCAGGCCGAGCGCCACCCATCCAGTTGCCCTTCTAGAGGCTGTCACAGTGTACGCCCTTGTCACCTCTGCATGCTGTGCCTGCACCCAATTCTGTGACCTGCCCTGGGTATCAACAGATGTCGGCCTTGACTGGTTAGAAATAGGGTGCTGATGTCTTAGTTTGCATATTCGAGAAGCAGAGAAACCCTTCTGGCTGTGTCCACCCTCCTCTTTCCCTTCCCAGGTGAACATGGATGACCGGTTTGGACAGATCATGATCGAGAACCTACGGAGGCGACAATGTGACCTGGCAGGAGTGCAGACTTGCAAGTCGTTAGAGTCACAGGTCAGAGAGTGGGGACTCTGTTGCCCCGAGCCACCCAGGGAAGGGCATCTTCCCTTCACACATCTGAGAAGCTGGGGCTACACGGGGGCCACTAGTTCATCATGCTAGGGAAGGCCAAGCCCTCAATGTGGAAAATATATGTGGACATTTTCTATACCCCAGCATTTAAAACTTTCATCATACAGATTTTCAAACAGCATGAAAGTACAGGGAATGGTAAAAGGAACACCCTTTTTCCCATCAGCCTGCTTCGTATTTCACATTTTGTCCAAATTGTTTTATTTATCCCCAGTTTGTGTTGGTGTTGTCATTGGAATATTTTAAGGCAAATCCCAGGTAGTATATCATTCCACCCATAAACATTTCAGTATGAATTTCGTGCCAGTAAGGACTTTCTTACCCATGGGATCATACCCTTGCCACACCTCACAAATCAACCAGACCTCCTTCGTAGCACCCACTACCCAGTATGTGTTCAGATCTCCTAAATTGTTAAAAAAAAAAAAAAATTCTATAGTTGGTGTGTTTGAAACAGTATCCAAACGTGGTCCAAACGTTGTACTTGACATTTCCCTTAAGTTTCTCAGAATCTAATAAACCTTTTTGTTAAAGATTTATTTGAGAGAGAGACAGAGACAGCACGAGCAGGAAAGGTGGGGGGCGGAGAGAGAATCTCAAGCAGACTCCACACTGAGCATGGAACCTGACTCGGGGTTCAGTCCCAGAACCCTGAGATCATGGCCTGAGCTGGAACCAAGGGTCAGACACTTAACTGAGTCCGCCACTGAGGCACCCCGCCGGAATCTAATAGATTTTTCTAAATATCTTCTTTTTTTCTGCTTCCATAAAATAGGTTAGATTTTACAGGTCTTCGTCATATTACCACTCAAATGCTTTCAAAACTGTTGCTCCTGGAGAAGTTTCTGTACTTCTCTTTAAATATACCTAGGGGACCTCTCCCCCATTGTAACAGTGCATGTTTGGTGTAGAAAATTGCAAAGTAAAAAGAAGGAAGGTAGGGGCCAGGATAGGCTTTCAAAAGAGGAGTCATCGAAGAGAAATTTTCATGTGCTTGAAGAGTGTCTTGGATTTGTACACCAGTGCCTTGTACCTTCTCCATTTCTCTCCACCACACATTCTAGAAAGAACGGCTCCTGTCGAATGGGTGGGAAACGGCGTCAGCAGTCGACATGATGGAACTGTACAGCAAATTGCCTCAAGCTGAAGTGAGCAGGTGCGGGATCGGCAGTAGTTAGCCTCACGGCAAACAATTATGAATTAAAGGCATAACTCTCTTTAATGTAAAAAAACAGCAACAACAAATCCTCAAACCCTAACTAGACTTACTTTGAAACAAGTTAATCTGCTATTGCAGACTAAACATTGATAGCACCTTGAGAGTAACTCATTAGCCACTTGCTGAGATAGGGTCCATGACAACACAGATTATTTTAGTCAGAATAAGCAATCGCACCTGTAACATTCCCAGAGCACCCTCTGGAAGTGGAAATTTTGCACAATCCCTGTGTTTTGGAGCAGGAGCAGAATGATGTTGTCCAAGGGCTTCCAAAGGGTCTGCTCGCAGATTTTTCTTTTTTTTTAGATTTATTTATTTATTTGACAGAGAGAGAGGGAGATCATAAGCAGGCAGAAAGGCAGGCAGGGGGAAGGGGAAGCAGGCTCCCCACTAAGCAGAGAGCCCCATGCGGGGCTCAATCCCAGGACCCTGAGATCATGACCTGAGCCAAAGGCAGAGGCTTACCCCACCGAGCCACCCAGGTGCCCCTTGCTCACAGATTTTTAAGCGGACTTCTCCCCTCATTATAAAATAAATTGTTCGAAATTTTAATTTAATTATAAAATAAAGGGACATTTTATACAAAAAGTGAAAACACTTTTTAAGCTGCGTAGGACGTGCATGAAATGGAAAGCTGCATTCTGTAGCTGCCCTTCCAGAGATTGCTGTCGTTAATAAGTTGGCGTGTGTCTTTCTGTGTGTAAAAAAAGGTGACTATTTATTGATATATAGGTTCCTGGTTTTTGAATCAGTAGATTCATATTACATGCATTGGTCTATAAATCACCCTCCTCTTTTAGAAACTTAACAATTGATTTTATTTCTCTTCACATACCAATATATACCCACATAAAGAAGGTTTCCAGGTCCTGTTCAATAATGCTTAGTATTTATATTGATATGTGGATGGAGTAATTAGTGATAATAATTTTATAGTAGTTCAAAAGTTGCATCTAGAGCTGGGCATTTAGTTGTGCCTTATTGTTTATTTTTGTTGTGCTTTAATTTCCCTGTTATAAACCACACTGTGTTTATCTCTGGGCACTGTTAGTACCAGCTTTAATTAAGTTCTTGTTTTATTGTTACTTTATGCTCCCTGGTTTGTGTTTCCTCTTGCCTGTGGGAACCTACAGGTGTAGGTCTCTTACAGGATAATTAGAATTTTAAACCTTGCTTCTCCACAGAAGTTGTTATTAATTTTTAGAAGGATCACTACTTTTTCCAAATATTTACATCAAGACCTTGAAGGTTTGTGAAAGAGATGTCTCCATGTGGGGGCGCCTGGGTGGCTCAGTGGGTTAAAGCCTCTGCCTTCGGCTCAGGTCATGATCTCAGGGGCCTGGGATCGAGCCCTGCTCGAGCCCTGCGTCGGGCTCTCTGCTCAGCAGGGAGCCTGCTTCCACCTCTCTCTCTGCCTGCCTCTCTGCCTACTTGTGATCTCTGTCTGTCAAATAAATAAATGGAATCTTAAAAAAAAAAAAGAGAGAGAGATGTCTCCATGTGATCAGGTCTCTGTTTTCTGAAATCTTCCAGAATTTTCCTTGCTCACAAGCTGGTTTTCAAGGTGACTATTTTGAATAACCCTGGTCAGGCATCTAAAATGGAAATGCTCTGGCAGCTCGTCTGGATGCCCCGGGAGGAGTCTTTAATGGCAGTAGCCATCATAGGAGCAAATTTTTTCTAGGCCATCATTTGTCTCGTGTTTCCATGGCCTTGTATAGCTAGCACTGTGTATCCCTGACAGAGATGGGATGGGCTTTGGTCTGTCTGCCCAAGGCCACAGAGCCCTCCCAGGTCTCAGAATACCTGGTAGTTTGTGTCTACATTTGCCAAGGGCTTCTGCTGGATACTATGTATAAAAAAGAAGTCTAAGGCAAGCCTGTTTCTTTAACAAATACAGAGTGCCAGCTATGCACCATGTACTTTCCTAAGCACAAGGCATACAACAGAGATCAAAACAGACCAAAAGATATGCCTGTCTTGGAGTTCACCGTCGAGGGAACGGCTTCACAATCTAGTGTCCTAAGAACTGAACTTGGTGCTAAACATCCTGGAGCCTTCATTATGGTGTTGGTGTTTTGTAGAACTTGGTGTTAGGCAAATCTGCCTTGTGTGAATTCTGATAAGAGGAGGTAGGAAGCAAGCCAAGTACGTTATGCTTAGTCACTCTCAGTTCAGATGGGACCCTTAGGCCTGCCTACCAAGACAGGAACAAAAACACAAACACAGAAACACATGTAGCAAATGCACATACATAAGCACTTCTCCCCACCCCCAGCCTGCACTAATGGCAGTACCTGAATGTTAGCAATCACTGTTGTGAATGGTGGGCATATAGATCATTTTAAATTTTCTTCTTAATACTTTGTGGAAATGCCTGGAATTTCCCACAGTGTGCCCATATTTTAACAGAAACAAATGTATTAAGCTATTTTACATGTTTTGCATATTTGAATGTGCGTATGTTTTAAAGCTTATATTTTTAAATGCTTTTTTGAAAAAAAAAAAAAAATCATACCAGCACATTATAAAAGAAAATGTACAGAATAAAGTAAGGTAGAGTAAAAACAAAAACCAACCCTCCAATCCTGTTTCCCCTCCCTCCCGGTCTACTACATTCTCTTAAGAGACAAGCACCATTACCAGTTTCTACTGTGTTTTTACAGAGGAGAGTTATGTGTATACAAGCATGTGTATCCCCCACTGTCTCTTTCATCGATAATAGTGTGCCCTGCACATTATTTACTATACAACTTCCATTTTGAACTCCATGATGAGCGGTAGAGGCTGTTCTGTGTCAATACATATAGACTTTCCCATTCTTTTGGATAGCTACATATCCTATTGTGTGAATGTGCTTTAATTTATTTAACT